GGAAGGCTTGAGCCCATCAGCGGCGTGAAAATCGAGCTTGAGTTTGAAAAATTCTAAATTACGGCAAGACTTACCGACGCGGAAAAGAATGAGCACTTTGAGTAGACAGAACTCTCCCTCGTTCATATTCATCTCACGCATTGGAAAGACTAGGTCCTGCATGAGATGTTCAGAAAGGATCGAGAAGTAATGATTGCACCTGAAACAAGGAATAGACATTAATGAATCTCCGTTTTCTCCAAAAGTCCTGCCATCACAACATTGCACAGCTACAACATGAGCACGCAGCTGCGATCCAGTTGCTTAAGCAGGATGTACAATCCTGCCAGACCAACATGTACAGTCCCTACAGCATTTGAAAGCAACAGGTATAGCTGTGGAAGCGGCGAGGGTTCAGACTAATAAAAAAGCGGAGACGTGCAGTCGTTTTTCGCTGCAGATGCTAGAGCGTGTAAGAGGGTTGGGATGGTGTGCGCGGTGCTAGCCCGTTCTCTTCCATTTGTTGAAAGGGGCGAGCGGTGGAAAACGGACTGGCGCCGCGCCACACCCAGCCTCCTGACACGCTCCAGCGTTTAAGCGAAAGGAACTACATGTCTAAGAGAGGAGGATCGGTACGAGAATACGTAGCCATCACCGGAACGCTCCACTTCACTCTCCGATATGGTCAACACGACAGATTTTTCACAAGAACATTCAGCATCAGTGGGTGCTGTGACCGCGACCCTTATGATCGTCACAGCCACGTTAACAGCGGATGAGAGGGCGTATCAGCGAGGTTGAGTTTGGCACATCGCCCAGCACCAGCGTTGGAGTGGGTAAGCGACAATAACTGGTGGAAAGCGACTAGGAAAGACATGCGTGGTATTCTTTCCGCTAGCCGAAAAAAAACAGGCTGAACCGTGCCTAACCCAACCTCCATCATCCGCAGCGATCAAGACTGTAGTACGCCTCAGTGCGTTCTACATACGAAAATCTTCAGAACAAAGTACGTACCCAGGATCCAACGTCTTCTGTAGATCTTTGTCACGTGGGTACCAGCTACCATTCACTAGCGCCACACCATCGCATCCACTTTTGAATGTCTGCAATACTACGAACAATGCTCTACTCTCAAATAAGAATTTTTGAGACGACAAAAAAACCTCTGATTTATTCGGCTCCTGTCATGTTCACAAACCATAAAATGAATCATTACCAGTTCTATATGAGCTTTAGCTACGACTCTTCAAAAAATAACACCTCACCTTGTACGTGTGACATAACCAGTTCACCGAAACAACTCGATTTCGGAGTAAGACGTATTGATCCGCCGGTGAAAGGGCCTGAATAAAGGATTCCATAAAAAAAACGTGCAACCCGTATAAAAAAATGAGAGTCTCCCATTCACTGCCCGATTCCTTTACTGAAACGAAATTCCTCTAGAAAGTAAGCCACTCGAAGAAACATTCTGCGATCATCGTATAGGAGGAGACTCAACCATTACCCATTAGAGCTGTCAATAAGTGGAGCTAATGGGAAGACGTAACCATCGTAAATCCTTGCCCTATTCAGGGTCTTCCGGCTATCATAGAATCAGTGTGTGTCCAAATGTGGCACAGGCAAGATGAGGGGAGGATAGGTGGTGAATTCTTCGCGTGTGAAACGGGGAAAAAAATCAGCAATCGGAAATGTTCCCTGATCCCAGACTGAATACAAACACCGTTTCCTCTAGCAGCTGAACGCCACCTCCCATAGGGGATTTCCCAACGTGCCCTGACTGTCAATACGAAAGTAGTGCCTCGCGGAATAGATGCCAACCTTCGCGAGTCCCCGACTAGGAAAAAGGGACCGCGAAAGAAAAGGCTAGACTGCGCCATGGAATGTTGTGTACCCTATGGAGCAGGAACTGCGTCCTGGAAATCTTGTAGGGGTCGCCAGGAGCTGCGTCGTTGAAAATCTTATTGAGGTCGTCCTCAATATGAGGGAGGGTGTTGTAGTTGGTGCTGGGGGTCGACGGATTCCCGCTCGACCACAGTTCTTTACTAAGGGGAGACCTGGAAAGAAGTTAAAGAAGTTCAAGAATTGTTAGAGAGTTAAGAGAATTTGGGAAGATAGTAGGTAGAACGGGGAAGGGAGCGGGGGGGCGGAGTCGAAGTGTGAGGATTTTTTGAGGAAGTCGTAATGACGTTGCCATTTTATCCTCCAGATGTTGCTCCCTGTTGCGGAGGTTAGAAGTTAAGTGGTGCCCGTCAGGTATGTGCGCTACTGTGTGATGGACAGGAAACAGACTATCACTCCACAGCCTCACGGCTAGACTTGGGTAACGAACCCAATGAAATGCACACAGAACATGCCCCGCCCCATGAAACCGAGAAAACGTAAAGAGTAAGACAAAATATTCGAGACAGTACCTTGTAATCGGCCATGAGTGCTGCCCAGTCAACGCATAAAACAAACGAGCGGCACCATGCGATTCCGACGTCTTCAAGGTTGGTCAAACGTTCGAGAGCCAACCAGCGTGGCTAAAAAGGAATATCATATTGAGCACTGAAAATACAGTTCGGAATCTTACCGGTGTTCTCTTCGCCACGATTCCTGGCTGTTTGAAGGCGGCTTCGATAGTCACATCTACTCTGCATAACTTATTGAACTGCTCGCTGAAGTCGCAGTCCTCTGTAGCGTCGATCATGTTGTCAGTTTGTCGTTCCTAGAAGTGTGCTTCTGTAGATGATCAAAAATTAATACTGTCATGGTTTAGCCCCACCAAGCTGGTTTACGGCAGAGTAGTGAAGGGAAACGCGCATACAGGGGGGAGGCAATAAAAAGAAGTCATTTTTCTTCATTGACTTTTGATATAAGCACACTTTATTCAATTCTGATCGGACATTTTCACCACCAATAGAGCATATTAAATACTATCATGACACTCCGCCACAGCCTTCTGGACGAGCGCCATCGAGAGATTCTGG